TTTGACTAATATCAGCTTACTAACAAATATGATAAAACAGCAGATAGAAATAAACAGCATAGTTTTAATACTAATGAAACTGATTTATAAAGATGTGAAGCATTTGTATTATACATATTCAAAATGTATGAAATGGAGGTAATTGTTATCCTATCTAATCATGACAAGAACACACCTATTTATATTCAGTTAATTGTTAAACAGGCCTTTGGTTAAATCAGAAACATAAAAAGAAGTCAAGTTTTCCGAAATAACTTCAAATCAATTTCTACGTATGAATTACTGCTTATTAGGTTATACATTAAATCATGAATTAGTATGCTGCCAACTGTAACTGTTTGGATGTCCCTGTAAAATACTGAATATTTAATGACTAGTCGAGATCAGTACGTACTTACACACCAATAAGATCATATGTGATTTGATCATCCAAAATTATTTCATGTACCTACTATTATTTTAATAACATACTTTCTACAATAATTTGTACTATGCAATCAAATCAGCTACTGTTCAAAATGTCTCTGTTTACGGTAAAGTTGACAGATGAAACCAACTTAATTGTTATTATTATTGTTAGTAGTAGTAGTAGTATTTAGAAGTAATATTCAATAAAAACTCTGACTCATTATTAATGAAGTCAACAAACTATTAACAATAAGATACTTAAATTCATTTTCGTAATATTATTTAACTGCATGATATTCGATAAAACAAATAATTTCAACGTAATACATTTTATTAACTTCTGCATTCGTAAACCTCTGGTGAACAAGACTAAGGCGGGGACAACCAATTCATTGTTCGATATAAAGTTACAGAACATTTTGGTAAAATATGAGAATCATATATCAACTACTTCATTTGAAAATCTTTCATCAATTTTCCTACACATTCCGTATGATTCTTCCAATTCACAATTCCTTTCTATTTCCTTCAACTAGATCTTCTTAGCCTTCTGCTCCCATGGATTCCACTGCTGATTGGTGTTACATACTACTTATGTCGACAGACATAAGTGACATGCACCAAAAGCCAAATTTAAATAATCAAAAATAGCGCAATAACTAACTAAGTTATTAAACTTTTGTATACTTCTGACTAAATAAATACCAAATGAATGTAATTTGTTTTACTCATAAACGTTTCTTTTTAAATTGATCAGAATTCTTTTCTTCCTTCACATTATCGAGATAATCAGTATAAATAAACAACGTTTTTCACTGAAGAATTAAAAGTTAAATATAGTTTTTGTTCAAATTAATACATGAACTGTAACTATCACTGTATAGAACAAATGAGAGTTAGATGTCTAATTAAAGTTATAAATAAAATATTGTCAGTTAAATAAAGTGATTTAAATTTTATTTTCGAAATAAATGAAATAGTTCAAACACACTTAATTAACAAAATGTATTCATCTTGAGCTATTAGAATGGTGTAGAATAAATGATCTCCTTGATTTTCAGAAAAGAACAATTGAATGTATACTAAATCTCGTAAATTATCGAAGACTATTCTATTTTAACTAGGAATTCATAGAAGCAAGTTATTAAATCTGATATTCCGATGGTTATTATAACGTGTTGGAATCTATACCTTAAGCACATACGGAATTTTGAAGAAGAACACTAAATATCAAAAACTTTTCTAACGACTAATGTCAACAGATCAAACCTAAGGGTTTTCAAGCTTAAATTTATAGATCAATAGTTTAATAATTGGAGTCATACATTATATAGATTACCAGAACCCTAAACACCTAAATCATTTCTGATGAAATAGTGGCTCAAAGCCTAGATCATAAACATTATTCGAAAACCTTGTACAAATTTAGATGTGAATAAACTCATTGAAAACGTGTGATGATGAAAAAAGTATTTATGTGAAGCTATCATATATCTAACAAAAACAAACAACAATCCATAAAATCTTGTAGAAATGTAAGAAAGACTAAAGAAAAAGAGTACCACTCTACTGTGTGTGAAAGAGGATAAACATAGTATATCCGAGATAAGAATAAGTTATGATAATCTGATGTGCTATGCATATCCATACATTTACAAAATAGTTTTTCAAATAAATGTCTATTCGATAAGAACTTTCCTTGGTTGTTAAAATTTCAAAACAGTTTTCAAGAGACTGTGGGTGAAAATCGATTACATTATCTTTATTTAAGTGTTATATAATCGATTATTGTCATCTTTCTTTTTAATTTTTCTCGTTTTCATTTCGTTAAAAATTTTGGAATTATTTCTCAATCTTCATTTCGATAAATTTTTAAACCTGAATGATTATTTCCCACTTTATTTTCTGAAAATATTTAAACTTTAAAACAGAAACTGTTTCATACTGAATAGTTTATTAACTTGATAAGATACGGTCATCAAAAATTGTATTTTTACAATCTACTAAATCTTCCACATAAAAACTTTTTTTTCAATTTAACACGACCATTTACCTATAAAATCAATGAAGAATTCTTGATTATTTCAAAGATGCATACAAACTCTAATAACACAGACAATATTTAGTAAGTCGTTGAATATATAGTTAATCTTATTTCTAGACGTTTCTAATGGCAGATTTTACATTCAAAAGATTTTTTTCATCGTACACTTACCATGAATCTGATGCAGCTTATGTGACATTTTAATCATTTAAAAAACTTGATAACAAGTTAATCAACGTACATTTCAAAGAAAAAAATATTTTCAATACTAAACATAAAAATAGCGTATCTATTAATAAATTCAAATTTTATAATCATAACTGTATGGTTCTATCTTCAATTTAGTATTCATTATGAACTAGAAAACATATTTCATAGAATAGATTTAAAGAAACTTGTTACTGTTCACCTCATGTTTCATAATACAATGTTTAGAATACTTTTTAGCCGATATTCTGGGACAACATGATTGTTAATCGTTGTTAAGAATAAGTCTCTGCTGATAAAATTGATCTATCAGATAAGACAACATATTTGATCGATCACGATTCCGTTTTTCAATGTTAGTTCACTATGGAGTTTTCTTGAATAAATTATATTAGTCATTGAGAATTCGTAAACCAGTAACAAGTTTCATACTCGAATGATAAGATATATTATTTTTTTAATTAGTTCTAATTGTCATTCAATTAAAATCATGATGAAAAACCCCTTTAAACCAACTAAATCCGCCACCAATAATGGTTTTTTGCTCAAAATAGACATAGAAAATTCAAATAAAAGAGGTTTTATTAGGGATTAATTTTGAAACTGATATTACTTACAGCAAAGTTGATAAGTATGTAGAACTGGACTATCATTTTCATGGTAGTTCAGAACGTCTTAGTAACGAATATCACACTGAAACCCTAAAATTCCACAGATAACCACTGGCAACATAATTTTGTTAAGATAATGAACTGATCTAAGTTGGACCACCAGTGAAAAACTGGAAGCACTGTGTGGCTGTTTCGTCGGCAAACCTATACTGATAATTATCATATACTCATTGATGATATGTAATCCTCGGAGTTCTAGTGAGAAGCCGTGACCAAAGGTGTGAGGCAGTCACTCACCAAAAACAATGGAAGATGGTCACATAATATCATGGATTGGTTGAAGTTTGACAATAACACCGTCGGATACCGGCAAAGTGATCTAGAGGTGAGCCGTTCGAGTGACACCGAAGGTCCTGAGTTCGATTCCCGCGCGCGAAGACGTGGATGCGCACTGCTGAGGAGTCACATGCTAGGAAGAAACAGCCACCCGATTGTTACAGATTTGCAATGGTAGTCTATGTATTATTCACTGAAATTTTCAAAAGATATTTAATTGACCTGAATTAAACATGTCTCAATTAGTAATTGGCTTCTCTTGATAAGAGACTTCTTACTGCTACGTGTCATCCACCTTGGACATAATTACGCCATAAAAATTTTAATTTCTCAGTGCATTCAAATCACTCAATTTAATTATTGATAATCGTTAAACTGAGTCAGATCCCTGGATTAAATACCAATCTTCTCATTAATATTATCAGTGTCAGGAATAAAACAACGCCTAAAATAAGTAAAAGATTTTCATAACTACTATTTACCCAATTTAATTAGGTCCAACAAAAATTATATTCTCTTACCACTTCTATCAGTTGCATTTTATTGTCAATCATCTCCATCCACTAGTATCAAACACCAACCCTACTCATAACAAGTAATAATTAAACTGATCAATTTCTACCTATTGATATCAATAATTAACGGACACCAAACATCATCAATAACATTCATAATTTGAAATAAAACTTCATTATTCTTATACCAGTTTGTATACAATTAGAATGAAACCTATTATAGTGACTTCCTTGATCATATAGAAGCTTGATTATTATTCAATATTCATGCTGTATGTGTATGCATATAATTTACTCAGTTATGGGAAATAGTTCATGAAGAAATAAAGAATATACCGAATATTTTGTTTAAAGAAAGTGCTACTAAGTTAATCAAATAAAATCAAAGGAACAAAATTGTCTAAATTTCACTTTATTATTGAAACAAAGTATAAATGTAATTGATTATCTTTGTAACTAATTGATTATTTTATGACGTAAACTATATCAACATTATGACATGACAAACTTAAACATTATCATACTTTCTTAGTAAATATGTTCTATCAATTTTTTTTCTCTCTTTAAAATACCTTCATAAATAAGATTTCACTTGTAAATTATTAAACAAGTGGTTTTCGTTTGAAATATATATATATATATATTCTACTATTATTCATATTTAACTCATAATAGTTTTAATAATATAATTGGATGAAATTATCCTATTTCACCTTGACATTTAAAAATGGAGGTGGATATAATTGTATCACTGACCTAGATATTATTGTCTAACTAAATAGTTAATCAATTAATCTTGTATCCAATCAAATATTATCAAATGTTTTGTCAATTATTATAATTCAATTTTCTTGAATAAAATTTCACATTTCATATTGTGTGACAATTACAATTCATAAGTTATGAATTTAACTAAAGAAATTAATAAAAAATTAATTGCAGTTAAAATTAATTATTTTTTTCAATTTTGTGGTAAGTTTTTAAAAAAATGTTTGTTTTTTTGTTTTGTTTGTTTTTAAAAAAAAAGATTTATTCTTTAACTTATTTAATTTTATTTTTATATTAGCAATTTCATCATTATTTGTTTATATGAATCCAATACTCGCTACATATGGTTTAAATTCATATCAATTAGGAATTACATCATTATTTTCAAATGCTTGTTCATGTATTTCAAGAATTATATTTGGTATGATTGCAGATCATACAAAACATCGTAATTATGTAAGTCAATTTTTTCATAGTTAATTGTAATATGTAAAGAACAAGTGTGTTACGTCTATATGTTACTGTTTTTGTTTTTTGTTTGCTTTCTCTTCAATTACAAATTTACATTGTGAAAGGAAATAAGCTCTGTTTTGTAGACTAATTTATTTTTTGAAATGTAGGTAAGGGTGTTCTGAAGAATTTAGACAGTATGTTTAATAAAAGATTGGGAAAAATATGTAATAAAACATTAGTATTTTTAATATAGTCGTGAGGTATGTTACAAACGTTAATTTAGCATAAACTAATAGTCGAAAAACTTAATAAATGATCATTATTTATTATCTGCGGCAATTATTGATCAATTCTTTCATGATATTCATTTCACTAACAAAAAAAGTATCAGTAGCTGAAATAAAGTCATTTAACCTAACTCTTAAATTCAACTATAAAATGTACTTACTAATACTAATTACTTCTTTCAAATCACCATATTGAATGGAATGTGGAATTTTTTATAGACTAATACTGAATTATCTGAATGGGGAATTGTGAAGATTGTAATAACTTAAACAGTTGAATTCATGAGTCGATCTAAGCTAGACCACCAATAAAGATTTGGAAGCACTGGATGTTCGTTTAGTTTTAGTATGAAACTCCTCACTAGTGAGCATCCAAGATGCCGCACATAGGATTCGAACTCAGGGCCTTTAGTCTCGAGTGCCAACATTAATCACTGTCAAATTCCATACAAATCATGACAGTTTCGTCAAAAAAATTAAAGTGGTTCAGTATCATAGTCGTAAATGTACTTACATTACCAGCGGCATTCTTGAGGTACCTCACCTTATGTATATGACTTTTAATGATTTTTGGTAGGGTAGTTAATTAGTGGTTTCGTGGTTTATTCCTTAAATAATTCATGCTAAAAATAAGTATCATCACCGAACAAATACTCATTTGCTTATGTTCTCATTCGAAGTTACCTCATGTTCCCAGCTGTCATCTAGCCAACAGAATACTATAACAACTACAGTGGGCATAATTAAGAAATAAGCTTTTCAATCACTATTGTTTATATAGATTTATTGTATCATCATTTATTTCATCTTCAATTAAAGACTAACCGCTATTACATCTATGTAGCAGTTGACGATAAGCAGTAAATGGCTGATTTTTAATTATTTCTTTAATAAAGGATAAAGTCATCCATTTAAGCATATAATTAGGTGTTTGCACGGTATAAAAATTCTGGCCAACGTGATTAAGAAGTTGCAAAGCAATATTTCCTGAAGCCTAATTACAGATAAACTATAACTTGTTATTCATTACTTACCAAGATGTATCTTGCAAAATAATAACAGTATACAACATAATGTTTTGAATATATCTGAAATTAAGTTCTTGAAAATAGCGGGTACAAAACTTTTGAAGAATTAATCATACTTTGAAATGTAATTAAATGAAAGTTTTAATAGTTTCCAGAATTTTTTAAGATATTCTGAAGTTCCATTGATTTTAGTAATATGTTGTCATTTACGCACAAATTTGGTATTTCGTAGGCATTATTATTGATTCATAACATTTTGCCTATTATTCTCCCCCCCCCCTATTAAACCAACATTGAACAAAGATCACCACTGTGTTAAATTACTTGGAATAGTGATTACACTGAAACATAATCGATAGAATTTGATTGACACTGTAGACTAGGTAGTATACTAGTGGTTACTAGGAAGTTACCAGTTAGTTTTTAAACATTTCAACCTCATAGTCATATTCTAAATAACCTAGACTTAACCACTTTGTATCATTAGGTAATATAAAGTTATATTCAAATTAGAAAGGTACTAAACTTTTGTAGATTGTAAATATTATCTCAAATTCATTTTTCACTAGTCTTTTTTGTCATATTATATTTTTTCCCCTTAAATACTTGGAATGAAATCAACATTGTAACATTTTATTTGTTTGTTTAATTTTTAATCGATTAGTGAATATTAACTGTCAATATTTTCTTAACTTACAATAATAATGTACATATTTCCATATTGATAAATAGACTATTTAGATTAGCTTTCTAAATTGAAAATAAAAACAAAAAAAACAAAAATGTATCCATACGTATTTAACTGCCCAACGAAAAAAAAATTTATCTGAAATTCTCTATTTATAAATCGTTAATATAACACTATAAGACAACTTTTTTAAGGACATCATGTGCTACAATGAATAATGAATATTATTTATTCATAAAAATAGGTTTATAATTAAATTAAAACTAATAACTTGTCTAGGATAGATAGAATATAGTTAGTTTATATTTAAATTAGTAGAATAAATAAATAATAAATATAATATAATTAATAATTGTCAATTAAACTTGTATTATTGAAATAACTAGTTTTTAATTTATAAATGTCTATTATTATTTATGATATTGACATGAATGATTATGAAATATTCAATTGAAGTTTTATTCATAATAAATATTTTTTTATAACTAATTCAATTATAATACTTTAATAATCTTTTATTAATTTAATAAATGATACTAATAGATTTTCTAATAATAAAAACTGTAAATATTTGATTTAGTTACTTAATAATATTAACTAACAATTTATCGCACTAGATATTGTTTTATTTGAATCTTCCCATTGATGTTTTTGGACTGAAATTGATCAGTCTCTTATTGGCGTTTGAAGCGAACGGTATTGAGTTCGAGTCCCAGAGTGAACATCAACTCTGAGATGCAGGTACATCCAGCTGACGAGTCCCAAACAGGACGAAACGCGCGTCCTGGATTCCACTGCTAGCCACTATCCATCTTAACAATTTATCGGTTTGAATTGTGATTTTATTATTTTTTTGTTTGAAAAAATAGAGTATTATCATTGAAAATCTTACACAATAATGTGACTTATAGCTTGTATGATAAATCATGTTAGTAAGAAATAAGTAAATGAAAATGCGATTAAATGAATCATGATTAATGTAGAATATGTACATCGATTGTTTACTGAACAGTGACAGATGTCTTATTTTTCTAGTTCTAATAGGTAGAGTTTAGTCAATACTAAGAACTAGATAAACATGACATCTGCTATTGTTCAGTGATCAACCAATTTAAATATTTCAATCTAATGGAAAGTTAGTCGCATCCCCAATAATTCAATGCTAACGTCTCAAACTATGGAACTGAGTGACTCAGGTTTGGATTATTCAGGAAGCATCAGTTCCTTCGAAATTTCAGCTATGCCTTAGTGAAAGGAGCAAAACAGCCAGAAACCTGGCTCCGAAGTCTTCTACTGACTGCTCCAAATCATCTAACAACGTAACTATTATGTATTAATCTAAGTTTTAAAAATTATCATAAATAATGCCAACGAAATAGCAATACAAATAACGTTAGAAGACTAAACATAAGAGAACTAGTTCTGAAAAAAGTATTCTATAATATTAAAACCCCAAATTCACACTAAGTTTGAGAAAGAATGAATAAATCTGAATCACTGTCACTAATTCTAAAATGTATCAAATTAAGATCAACAATTTATTACAGTTAGCTAGCGAAATACGTCAACGATAATATTCATCTGAGAGATGGCCCTAACCAATAGTCTTTAAGTTGTTGAAATTATGTTCAACATAAATAAAGGTCTACAACAATAACTGATTTGCAATCAATAATTAACACTTCATCCTTAACCTTAATACCACTCATCCAGTGTTTCCATCATAAGCTAATAACACTTCGAAGACACATATTTTCAAATATTTGTGACAACAAAATATCTTAAATCCTCAGAGGCAATGCATCATAGATAGAAGATACTATCGAGTGAATTACTAAGAGGCACACACTGTCTTTGATTCAGAAGTGGATATCTTCCATTTAGCTGGTGGAGAAATGTTGGTGATAGCTAGCCGAGCTTTGCATGCCAGCATCCATATTTTGAAACTGTTAGAACACCATGATTTAAGAGGCTCTGAAATTGTCAATGTGTACAATTACTTCACTTCATTTGTTCAGAATTAACACTGGTTTGGACTAGTCTTGGAGCTTTTTTATGTATAGAAGAAGGGAAAAACACTCGTAACATAATCATATGCCTTAACCTAAGTCGGTAAAGTCGGTGTATAACTTGATCGATTGGTACTATTAAATAACCAATTAATGTAAACAATCTCTTTAAGTATTTTACAGAACTTATTACTTTCTAAATTATATTTTGGTTTCACTTTATCTGGAAGAAGTTATTCCTTGTTTTTTTTTAACCTTATTCATTTACAAGGTTTTAATGGCTTTATCATCTGCATCACTTGGTTTAATGTTGTTATTTTTAACAATACCAAGAAATAAAGAATATTTATTCAATGGAAACATGAATGAGAATGGGGAATTTGTAATGCATTTAACACCATTATTAAAAAATGACAGTCAAAGTAATTATATGGAGTAAGCGGAATTAAATATTTTTTTCTTAACTACGTTTTACTTCGTGTATTATATATATAATTATAAATATTGTAGGGGGGCACTTTTAATGAAGTAATGCTATTCTATCTGATAGTGTAAATCATTTCTTTTTTGAAAATCTTGTCAACCATTGACCAGTCTAACATAGTAGTTTAGAGTATGATTTTCCGTCGTTAATGTTCGAAAATGCATTTGATTGGTCACGGTGAACAGATTAATAAAACAGGTCACATAATGAGCATAAATGTGTAGAAAAAATATTTTACTTCCATTTAGTATATTACAGATTCAGTCATTCAATTTTTACCAAATGATTCAGGAGTTACATGTTACACATATAAATCTTATGTTCTAGTTGCAATTTTCTTATAAATTAACAATCCCGATTTGAGCAATCAAGAAAGTAACAGTTGTTAGCTTCTATAATAATTTTTGAAATCTATTGACTTTCTATAGAACGTATCTTTAATCAAGCCTATAATACAGCTATTCTAAAATCTTTAGTTACAAATCATATTAAAAATCAAACTTCAATGTTATTTAAAACTAATTTAGATTAAAAATTCTATGAACGATCATTATAAATTAACTTTTATCATAATCAAGGTTTTATCTCAATATAGTTGTAGATATAAAATACCACAAAATTTCCGTTAATCACAAGTTGACAAGCCGTGACCAGTGGAGCTAATCCGTATCGGGTGGAGACTGGTATCTACCCTAGTACAATCGAAGATGGTCACGCGATTTCGTGGATTGGTTGGTGTTAGACATTTATACCATTAGATGCCGGCTCAGTGGTCCAGTAGGTTAAGCGTTTGCGCGCGAGACTGAAGGCCCTGGGTTCAAATCCTGCGAGCGGGACCGTGGACGCACGGCTGAGGAGTCCCACAATAGGACGAAACGGCCGTTCAGTGCGTCCGGGTTACCAACGGTGGTTTAAGATCAATCGGTTCATGATTTCAACCAAAAACTTGATAATCTCCACAACTGATAATTACATGATAAATCGATTATTTGTCCAGTAACTATTGAACATTGTTTCAAAAGTGTTTTTAAACCTTAAGAAATGCTTAGAGAAATTGATGGGAAAAAAATAAAATCAATTAATGTTCTTTTGATCGGTGTTGTTCTTAGCCTTTACTAAGTAAATATAGATAGCATGGTGACCCAAAACTGTTTCATTTCATAATTATCAATACCTACTTGTGAATAAGTTATTTTTATTTTTATATACTATGAAGTATCGATCATATCTACCGCTAGGCGTTCATTGATGGAATATGATGTTTTAAAAAAATTAAGATGATAAAAAAGTATGTCTTTTCACAATACTACATTTATTTCCAGTAGTATTCAAGTTGAATTTTGAAAAACAAACGCCTGTACACCAATAGTAAACATACTAACAAATGCCATTTAAAACGTAATTCGTAAAACCGGTAAAATGTTCATTTCGCCTTCAAAGGATACGGATTACCTTAACAACGTGTAAAGCATTATAACTGCAATAATTATTAACTGATTTTCAAAATATTGTGATATCATTGGAACCATGAACCGATCCAAATTCAACAACCAATTAAAATGCGGAAGCACCAGACGGTTGTTTCACCCTGGTATGGGAGTAGAACCCAGGACCTTCGACCGTGCGCACAAACGCCTAACCTCTAGACCACTGGGTCCACATCAAATGGTGTTAATGTTTAACTCCAATCAATTCATGACTTGGTGCTGTACTCGACTCCCGCGTGCAGGACCTTCGATGCACACTTCTTGTGTGTCTCATACCAGGATGGAACGGCTGTCCAATGCTTCTAGATTTCCAATGATGGTCCACCTTAGATCGATTCATGATTTCAGTGAGATTTAACAATCTCCACAAGCCCTTACTGATTATTTTGATTTCATCAGCATAAATACTATTTCACTAATAATGAGTTATTAAAACAGTTTGAAAGCTGTACTAGTTTTATGACATCTTTAGTGTAGATATTTCTAAGTCTAATCCTAAATCAAGTTGCTCGCGCCTACTGTGGCAAATCTATTAGTGCAGTAATCTAATAATTTAGTTTATTTGTCTCAACAAACAAGTCGATAGCCTAAATTAGAATTGTAGATTTAAACGTATATTCTCCATGATATTCATGAGAAAAGCATTGATGATTTAATCATGAATTGACGAACTTATTTCAGTCACATTACATATTCTATAATGTTATTACATATATTATGTTGACTAAAATGACTACTGTTATTACCAAAGTCATATTTTCTCAACAACGTTTACCATAATGAAGGATTTTTATGAATCAACTAACTACTTTTGCACTGTACATAATATAAAGTTGTAAACGTATTACCGAACTGAATGTAAAGTTTAATCTGTGTAACTGATACTTTGGTTCGTAAAGTAAGTTTATGTTCAGATTAGACTAAGTTTTAGTTATTTCTGAGACAAAGTTAAATCACTGATTCAAGTTATGTCATGTTTTTCAACCTTCCTTTTTCAATTAAGAATTAAAGAGCCTAGATTAAGTACAATTCCTAGCAATAAACAACATGATCTCCATGTATCTAAACTGAAATGTTTTCTGATCTCTTTATTTATCTAATATGATCTAAATGGTTTTGTTCGGCTCATAAGATTAGTTCCAAACCTTCGCTATTTCATTTATTATAACACCTCACCATTTATTTGTCTTCTCATGTTACAGCTACCATTTCTAAATTGTAGTTTCATTTCTTTCTTTTGGTGGTGAGTTTTCATCATAAACTGGCTCCACTCTACCTAAAATACAAAAACCTAATGATTTTTTGAACTCGATCATAAACTGACTTCAATCAGAAAACCACTAAAAAGAAGTTTTGAGAACCTTCAAAATGATGTCTTTTCTGTTCAGAGACTTTTTTGCAACCCACATACACACAATTCAAAGCATTGTTAAACCCAGGACCACTCAATTAGTACACATTGAGTCCAAATTCTTTTCCAAAACTGTCTTAACTGACATTTCTACACAGTTTACCAATATATTTGTCTCATTCACGTGCTCTAAATGAATTGTCACAAACATACTGGCATCCTCGAAAACGTTTGGAACACATGAAATACTTTTAAGGCTAATAAATAGTAGCAATTTAATTCAAAATTAAAGTGTTTAGCTATTTCCAATGTATACAATTTTTATCGATTAGTTTACAGATATATATTGGAGTTTTCATTATTGAATTGCCCAAATACATATTATCCGATTACTGAATGCCATTTTGGATTGATACCGAAGTCCAAATTTTAGTCACCATGATATTAGAAATATATCGAGAATGTCATACTGTGTGAATTATTCATGAACGAATAACCGGTTGATAAAGACTTTCAGTGAGTGTTCGTTATATCCGTCTCCTTACGACTGTCTTACGTAATTAGTGACCTAGTTTCAAGAGTACACAATTTATTTCAGCTTATAATAAAAAACTGACTTATATCTAAGAAGTTGAATTCACGGTACCGTCAACTAATAATCGGACTTAATATTATGCAGTCAAAGTGTTTTTATAAACCTACTAATATTTACTAGTATACCGAAGTATATTTCGACGTCTTTTTAACGCAATGTTTTCTTCATGAAACTATAATTAAATATGAACTCGCTGAAGGTTAGATAATACCAAGATGCAATATTATAGGCACATTTTTTCCTGAATCATAACATTCATTTCGTTACTGTCTTGTTTTGAATCGTTCTGATTGTGCACCAACACTACCTTTTTCCAGAGGTTTAGTTTTTTAAAAGAATATTAGACCTAAGTAATCAAATGAAATTTAATATGCTACAGAAAACCTGTTGAATCACGGCTTCAAATATTTAGAAACCATATACCAGTTACTTAACAATGAAAAAGTAATATAATGAAAATTTGAAAATTAAGGTAAATATGTTTGCATGGAGATTTATTTTTATTTAAACTATAAGAATGACAATCGGTAGAAGAAGAAGCCGACTCCACTGAAACTGTAGGGATATCCATTATCTTCTATAAGTCGTAACAAATCCTAATTAATTAAAATTTACAGTTAAGATAAATCTTTTTCATTGAAATCATGAATCGATCCAAGCTAGTCAACCAATAAAAACTCAGAAACATTGGATGGTCGTTTCATGACAGTATGGGACTCTCCAGCAGTGCATATTCACGATCCTGCATGCTGGAATCTAACCATAAACCTTGTTTCACTCTCGAATACTTAACCACTACACCACTAAGCCGGTATCCAATGCTGTACAATTAAACTGAGCAATTTCTACCTATTGATATCAATAATTAACGGACACCAAACATCATCAATAACATTCATAATTTGAAATAAAACTTCATTGTTCTTATACCAGTTTGTATACAATTAGAATGAAACCTATTATAGTGACTTCCTTGATCATATAGAAGCTTGATTATTATTCAATATTCATGCCGTATGTGTATGAGTATAATTTACTCTGTATTGTATATCCTGACTCGGCATTTGGGTTTTTCATCAGAATTATCATGTCTTTTCATTGGCATTTCTGTAGAATGATCTACAGATCCTCATATAACTGGTCTTTATAGCCTCTACCATCATCGGTAGTGGGTGTGTTGCACTGGATGACTGCTCTCTTGAAGTTAGTATCCTCTGTACATTAGGTTGTTTCAAATGAGTTTTATTTATCCTAAGCAGAGCCAAAATGCATCTTCTTATTTCAGTGTATGTTTGAATGACTCTACCGATAACATATAATTAGGATTTCTCATCTACTCAGCCTGTCAGAAGTTGTGTTGGCTTTGTAGCTTCCATAAAATCTCGGGCTTCATCACAAAGCCTAACAACTCTTTTAAATGAAGACCCATCAACTCTCAGGGCGAAGTTTTATTGATTTTCACTGGTTATTACGTGGTGTTGCCAATCCCACTCCCAACACTCCAACGATACTCAGAGTTGATACTAGTAGTGACCCCACAAACGATTGAGGAAGAATGTATGTATTTCATAAATGATTTATGTTAATATGACTAAATTTCACGTATTCAATGGACTTTTCAACTATTTGACAGGACACTTTTTATTGATGGATTAAATATACCGCCATGTTGGCCAATGGTTTTAAAACAGTGTACATCCAATGAAAATCTCATTATATCAGAAAAGAATTATTACCTAAAAGCTTTTAATTCTCACAAATTATCAAGAGTTTATGTTGGAGATAAAAATCATTCATATCATCTGTCAATACATGTACAACAGAAGTTCCCAATTAATAAAACAATTCAACTTAGTTGTGTAGAAATTGAAACATCGGATGGATCTGATTGTGCGCCACTTGTTTGCGAGCATATACGTAAGTAGAGCTAATTACTCCACAAATATTAAAAGTTTCCTTTCATTCTGTTTAGTATGGGCGTAACCAACTCTTGTTTGAATTATTCAATGTTTGTAATTAATTTAATGCAGGCAGATGACTATAATTAGATAATATTGTGCTGGCCATAGACTGACTTTGTTGAGATAGATAGACAGACACCATGAACACCGAGCCTGTAAAGGATCAGCATTGACCTAACTCGCCATACTACACTATCACAATTAGATAAAAATAACAGGGTTAATGATAAAATAAATCAAAAATGTAGTGGCAATTATGATTAGAAAGACTATATATTGACAATATGATTCGAAAAGGCAAAATGGAAAGGTATGTATGAAAGAGGGATTGAATTTAAGACCGAGAAGAGAAAGAGTAAATGCATTTTCATGCTTATAAAAATTCAGTCTCCAACTACTGATAACGGTTTTGACAGCGACTCCAACTAAGTAGTCTGCACTTATTAAGACAACTCATCTCGGTAGTCAGTGATTTCAAAGACTGATACCATATCTCGGTTTGGTTGCCTTTACCCTTCTTTTAACCTACTTCTACACCCGTCGAAATAGATTATGGTTATGTACTTGTAACACTCGTTTCGACCAGCTCAATTGATACAGGCTTACAACCTTATCAGTTGGTATGCCACCTTTAATTGAAATCAAGTCTTTCTTGACGTCATGATTTATTGGAAAATAAGGATAAAAATAAAATTCACAATTTAATCTCTAAAAGCTGAAATGATTTTACTCATCACTTTAAAAAAGCTATTTCAATAAAGTTTTAGCAGTTTACTAAGTGATAAAATTGTTCATCAGAGTAGTTTTATCCTCTTGATCAATACATTATTTGTTTCGAAATGTTTGAGTTAACAGTTAATTTTCATAGCACATATTATGGATTGATCCTAGTTAGAATACGGTTGAAAAACTAAAAGCAATGGATGGTTTTTTCATCTCTTTAGGGGACTAATAACGAGTTCGGATTGATTACCTTTTTATGAATCGAACCCAGGACTTTCGATTTCTTCGAAAATGATCGACCTCTAGATTACTCGGCCAGTGAGCAATAGTATGCATGTCTAAATCCAATCAGTTCACAACATTGCACAACCATCCCCCATTCTCTTGGGTTGGTACCCAATTCACACTAAAGAGACTTACACTCCACCGGTCACAGGTTCTCACTAGGACCCCTAGGATTGCATCTAGAAGTTAGACACTGGTGGGGTTGTTGATTAAAACCGCTGAGGTCCATACTAGGACGACAAACCTGTTCGCTGCTTCTTGGTTTCTGGTGGAGCTTTAACTAAGATTAGTCCATGATGTAAATTGTGATAATAAAATAATCTATTCTAACCGTTATTCTGTATGTACATAATTTTTTTCTTCTTTTCAAGGGAATTGCTGAACTTACCTTAATAACTAAGAATTTATTCTAATGTCTTTTTTTAATTTTTAACATCTGAATGAAGATTTTTAGAACTTTTTTAATGGTATATTTATCGGCTGATCATATAGAGTATGAAACAATTGTGTATTAGCTTAAATTGTTACACTTCATATTAGTAGCTAGATAGTAATGAAAACTAGGACAAAGAATTAAAAAATAACACTATTAGCATTGGAACGTGGAACATACAAAAATTTAAAAACAAACAAATGAAATAGAAATATGAAGAGTATCCACTGACATTGAGCTTTAGACTTAGCGTCAGATAAGTATTGATGCTGTGATTAATTCCAGTCTATTTCATTTAACATCAGAATTACAATATATGTCAGTCAGTCAGCTACAACGTAGGACCAGGCACATATGTGCATCGGTCCAGGTTGCATATGTATATTTTATCCAACACTACATAAAAACATAATAAGGATTCTGATGTTGTGTTCTCTGAGCTGGATGGTTTATTAAAGTCAGTGTCAACATGTGAAAGTAATAACCACCGTATAATGATAAATTTAGTTAACTTGTGTGTGCTACTTATATTGACATAAGTAGTATTTGATGTTAGTAGTAAACAGATCTGGAAGTAGAGAGACAAGAGGACCGAACAGTAAAGAATGGAAACAAGATGCAATTTGTATGAAAATGCAAGAACAAAGAAGTCTGAGTCATTTTGAGACAATCGATGACCATTTTGCAAATTAAGCATTTACTTTATGATTGCTAGATTTTATTCACAAGTCCTGTAATTATGTGTTAAATACATTCGATTGTCCCCACTCGTGTTCTGTTCACTACAAACTGACTTCATATATAAACAATTAGTTTAAAACCCTAAATTAATATATCACCAGTCATTTTTTCTTACATATATAGTACTTCACTAGGAATTTCAGGTTCTGTATTTTCATTATTTTTATTAGTTTGCAAAAACTAAACTTTTGTGATATTCCTGCAAACTAACGTTTATGTTTGGTCTATACATAGAGACTGAATTCATTAAGTGTGGTGATTGAACTTACAAAATTCAGATATGATTTCGATAGTTGAAATGGTTGATCAGTGTGAGGATCACGTAGCTTTATCTAATTATTAACTGTTTCCATTCAATTCAATTAATCAGTCATCTATCTCAGTCGTAATAGTTGTCAATTTTTTAATACTTTAGCATAATCAACTCTTTTGAGAAATTATTTGTTTTATATATGAAGCTTGATGAAAATCTATCCAAAAATAGATAATATCGATCATGTAAAGTGTCTAAGAGTTTCTTCGCTGATATTTTGTTCATTAATAGACTGCATCTCATAAGTATTTATTACTTTTTTAGATTTTACGTTTGTTTGTACGATAAATAAAATAGATTTTTGAAATCGGATTTAGAGTATTCAGAACACAGTAAATTTATATCTTACATTTGATTATTAACATTTATTAATTTGTATTTTAAATATAATTAGTTTATTCTTTTTAATCTATTTAAATAAATACAAACCAGAGGATGCATCATGGTCAGTTGTGATATTCGTTTTAATTCTACGCTGTTTAGTTAGCTCAGCTCATGCACCAATTTCAAATCTACTAGATTCAGTAACATTTTCAATACTTGGATCAGGAAAGGCACATTTCTACGGTAGATCAAGAGCACTAGGATCATTTGGTTTTATGATTGGTTCTCTATTAACTGGTTTTGCAGTATATCAGTATACATCAATAAATTATCATCATACAATAAATGAAACAAATCTGAATCTTTTATACTATACTAATAATTCATTAAATATCAACTCAGTGAATCCGAATTATATACCAGCAATTATAATCGCTTCATTATCAGTTGGCATTGGTACAATTGCATCAATATTTTGTAACTATGATAATACAAAATCTGTAGAAACACATTTTACAAAAGCATTAACCACAGCAATACGTTCACCAACAATGATTCAATGTTTAGTGGTTGCATTTATGACTGGTTTGATTATATCATTTGTTGCTGAATATAATTATCTTATTCTCACCACGATCTATCATGTACCACATTATTTCCTAGGTTTATTAACAACTATAGCTATTATTGTAGAAATACCAACATTATTATTTATTTCAGGTATCACTGTAAAACGCTTTGGTGTGATTGCATGTCAAGTAATTTCACAAATAATGTTAACTATACATTTCATATTTTATACTTATTCAACAAATTATTGGTATCTCTTAATTGGTGAAATTGCTTACGGTATATCTTATCCAATCTTAATGAATGCTTTATTATTACAAACGGAAAAAGTTAGTTTTGAAAAAATAAATGAGAATTATCAAATTTTAGCTAGTTTACAAGCTATACTAACAAGTACTATGTATGGTTTAAGTAGTAGTTTAGGTGGATTAATATGGGGTTTATTATTACAATATTTTAAAGCACGTACATTATTTTTTATAGCATTTATTTACACTTCAATTTGTGCATTATTTTTTCCATTTATTGCATATTATTTAAACAAATTAAAATGTTAAATATTTTAAATGTACTTAGATTTTTTTCTAGCTCACACTAATTAAACCTATTGTGATTATAATTTATTCATAATAAATATTATCAAATTCAATGCAAAATAAACTGTTCTGTAGAGATCTATTATAAAAATATAAATTGGGGTGTTCAGAAAGTGGAAAAAAAAATTTTGTTTTCTAAACTACATATATTTATCATTAGATGATTCTATGTAAAAGAAAAATTGATGAAATATTTTTCTTTTTGTCAATAATTCCTTTTAATGGACTTTTAATAAATAAATGCGTTTCATCTGATCTTTTCATACAATTTCCTAAAGAGAATTTCTACTTAATTACAACATGTACAAATATTTAAATTATGTGAAATAGACCAAGTATGATTGTTTTTTTCCTTTGAATTAGGCGCATTGTTTCTTTAGTAATAAGAAAAATGCATGAACTGAGATGGTTAAGGTTTGTTATTATTATTATCCAACATGCCTCATTATACTTCACCAGATAAACTTAAAAGCAAAACAAATTTCAAGCGTGTAAAATAGGGGATTCTATCAAATATAATAGTAGCAAATGTAATGTACACACTAGGAATTCCTACATATGTCTAAAATGTTCATAAGTCACAAATGGATCAGCACTCAAATAAGCCAAAACACGTACATAAATTGGTGCATCCCACTGGGATGAGAAAAATTCGAGGAATAATGTGTGAATCAATTGTTTTATACAAACAACACAGCTTCGCATTAAACTTTGAATAGAGAGAGCAACATGTTTAGAAGTATGTATTTGTGAAGATGAAGTTATAACTTGAACTGACTAGCAGACGATACCTAATTAATTCAAATTTACTACACGTAAACCTGAGGGAAACTGTAACGTTAAATTAAATTGATTGCCCGTAAAAGTTCGTTAATAATCAAGCATCAAGGCATTCAGTGACCTTCATGGAAATTAATAAACAACACAAAAACGTGACAGGTAACATATCGTATCTCCAAAAAGTTTCAGTATTGATCAAACTAGAGATATCGACGCTATGCATCAGTTGCATACGTTCAACATAGTCTCCTCCTAACACTAAACATGGAAAGTGATAACCAATCAATCCCAAATTCAGCTGAGACTATCTGTGATACCATAAACGAATGCAAAATCCTTTCTCTCTCCATCTTCGCGTGACTCAATTCCATCATCAATCCACACACTATCACCTGTCAAATAAAAACAATCGTCAGAACTGTTCCTCAGAGATCTTGGTGAAAATCACTAATCAACACTGTTATCTAGCATCATTCAAACTAAACCAACACCATCAGAAAATTGACGGACTCACCTCACAATTCTCACAAGTAGAAAACTCAAGTCAACCACATCCACCATCACGATACCTGGCACAATCAACAGACAATCTCGATATGCCAATCCAAAATCAAGTTCACAATCTCACATCTACTCTATGTCGCATTCCTTCGTATTCACACTGTTCTTCACTGCCTCTTTCCTGTACATTTGAACAAATCACTCAGTCAACACCACACAACACACACCTGAAATAGGAAATACAAAACAAAAATGCATAAACACCATCTCCTCATCAACTAACATCAGACAGTAATGATATCATTGTATCACAAGTAGCAAATAAACATCACTAACAAACAGACAAACAAACAAACAAACAAACAAACAAGTAAAAAGAACAACACAACATACCTGTGTCATCGTGACGCATGACCGATAGGATCGCTTCACTAGACCACATCATATCTCCACATTGCCAATCGCTCATGACCCCCAAAATACTCTCTCTTCGTGATCCAATCCCATCATCAATCCACACACTATCACCTGTCAAATAAAAACAATCGTCAGAACTGTTCCTCAGAGATCTTGGTGAAAATCACTAATCAACACTGTTATCTAGCATCATTCAAACTAAACCAACACCATCAGAAAATTGACGGACTCACCTCACAATTCTCACAAGTAGAAAACTCAAGTCAACCACATCCACCATCACGATACCTGGCACAATCAACAGACAATCTCGATATGCCAATCCAAAATCAAGTTCACAATCTCACATCTACTCTATGTCGCATTCCTTCGTATTCACACTGTTCTTCACTGCCTCTTTCCTGTACATTTGAACAAATCACTCAGTCAACACCACACAACACACACCTGAAATAGGAAATACAAAACAAAAATGCATAAACACCATCTCCTCATCAACTAACATCAGACAGTAATGATATCATTGTATCACAAGTAGCAAATAAACATCACTAACAAACAGACAAACAGACAAACAAACAAACAAACAAGTAAAAAGAACAACACAACATACCTGTGTCATCGTGACGCATGACCGATAGGATCGCTTCACTAGACCACATCATATCTCCACATTGCCAATCGCTCATGACCCCCAAAATACTCTCTCTTCGTGATCCAATCCCATCATCAATCCACACACTATCACCTGTCAAATAAAAACAATCGTCAGAACTGTTCCTCAGAGATCTTGGTGAAAATCACTAATCAACACTGTTATCTAGCATCATTCAAACTAAACCAACACCATCAGAAAATTGACGGACTCACCTCACAATTCTCACAAGTAGAAAACTCAAGTCAACCACATCCACCATCACGATACCTGGCACAATCAACAGACAATCTCGATATGCCAATCCAAAATCAAGTTCACAATCTCACATCTACTCTATGTCGCATTCCTTCGTATTCACACTGTTCTTCACTGCCTCTTTCCTGTACATTTGAACAAATCACTCAGTCAACACCACACAACACACACCTGAAATAGGAAATACAAAACAAAAATGCATAAACACCATCTCCTCATCAACTAACATCAGACAGTAATGATATCATTGTATCACAAGTAGCAAATAAACATCACTAACAAACAGACAAACAGACAAACAAACAAACAAACAAGTAAAAAGAACAACACAACATACCTGTGTCATCGTGACGCATGACCGATAGGATCGCTTCACTAGACCACATCATATCTCCACATTGCCAATCGCTCATGACCCCCAAAATACTCTCTCTTCGTGATCCAATCCCATCATCAATCCACACACTATCACCTGTCAAATAAAAACAATCGTCAGAACTGTTCCTCAGAGATCTTGGTGAAAATCACTAATCAACACTGTTATCTAGCATCATTCAAACTAAACCAACACCATCAGAAAATTGACGGACTCACCTCACAATTCTCACAAGTAGAAAACTCAAGTCAACCACATCCACCATCACGATACCTGGCACAATCAACAGACAATCTCGATATGCCAATCCAAAATCAAGTTCACAATCTCACATCTACTCTATGTCGCATTCCTTCGTATTCACACTGTTCTTCACTGCCTCTTTCCTGTACATTTGAACAAATCACTCAGTCAACACCACACAACACACACCTGAAATAGGAAATACAAAACAAAAATGCATAAACACCATCTCCTCATCAACTAACATCAGACAGTAATGATATCATTGTATCACAAGTAGCAAATAAACATCACTAACAAACAGACAAACAAACAAACAAACAAGTAAAAAGAACAACACAACATACCTGTGTCATCGTGACGCATGACCGATAGGATCGCTTCACTAGACCACATCATATCTCCACATTGCCAATCGCTCATGACCCCCAAAATACTCTCTCTTCGTGATCCAATCCCATCATCAATCCACACACTATCACCTGTCAAATAAAAACAATCGTCAGAACTGTTCCTCAGAGATCTTGGTGAAAATCACTAATCAACACTGTTATCTAGCATCATTCAAACTAAACCAACACCATCAGAAAATTGACGGACTCACCTCACAATTCTCACAAGTAGAAAACTCAAGTCAACCACATCCACCATCACGATACCTGGCACAATCAACAGACAATCTCGATATGCCAATCCAAAATCAAGTTCACAATCTCACATCTACTCTATGTCGCATTCCTTCGTATTCACACTGTTCTTCACTGCCTCTTTCCTGTACATTTGAACAAATCACTCAGTCAACACCACACAACACACACCTGAAATAGGAAATACAAAACAAAAATGCATAAACACCATCTCCTCATCAACTAACATCAGACAGTAATGATATCATTGTATCACAAGTAGCAAATAAACATCACTAACAAACAAACAAACAAACAAACAAGTAAAAAGAACAACACAACATACCTGTGTCATCGTGACGCATGACCGATAGGATCGCTTCACTAGACCACATCATATCTCCACATTGCCAATCGCTCATGACCCCCAAAATACTCTCTCTTCGTGATCCAATCCCATCATCAATCCACACACTATCACCTGTCAAATAAAAACAATCGTCAGAACTGTTCCTCAGAGATCTTGGTGAAAATCACTAATCAACACTGTTATCTAGCATCATTCAAACTAAACCAACACCATCAGAAAATTGACGGACTCACCTCACAATTCTCACAAGTAGAAAACTCAAGTCAACCACATCCACCATCACGATACCTGGCACAATCAACAGACAATCTCGATATGCCAATCCAAAATCAAGTTCACAATCTCACATCTACTCTATGTCGCATTCCTTCGTATTCACACTGTTCTTCACTGCCTCTTTCCTGTACATTTGAACAAATCACTCAGTCAACACCACACAACACACACCTGAAATAGGAAATACAAAACAAAAATGCATAAACACCATCTCCTCATCAACTAACATCAGACAGTAATGATATCATTGTATCACAAGTAGCAAATAAACATCACTAACAAACAAACAAACAAACAAACAAGTAAAAAGAACAACACAACATACCTGTGTCATCGTGACGCATGACCGATAGGATCGCTTCACTAGACCACATCATATCTCCACATTGCCAATCGCTCATGACCCCCAAAATACTCTCTCTTCGTGATCCAATCCCATCATCAATCCACACACTATCACCTGTCAAATAAAAACAATCGTCAGAACTGTTCCTCAGAGATCTTGGTGAAAATCACTAATCAACACTGTTATCTAGCATCATTCAAACTAAACCAACACCATCAGAAAATTGACGGACTCACCTCACAATTCTCACAAGTAGAAAACTCAAGTCAAC